TCTTGTATTATGCTTTTAATTTCTTTGGCATATTACTTTTTATGCACCTTGAATAGCATTGATTCTCCTGAAAGAATATAATGTGTTGAGTATACAGAAATGATCAGCAATAGGGGTCATTTCTCATGAGTATCAGAACTCACCTTTGTCAGGAAGACACCAGCTTTTGATTTAGAAGTTGTTTGTTTGTTTATGGAATTTATGTTGCCGCTTATTCACACATGGTGTCTCAAGGCGGCTTACAGAATATTAAATCCCATATAAAAACAAGAAAAATAATAGAATAAGTCATATAATAAATTAATATACTAAAATCACCCCCCATCCCCCGCCCAGGTGACAGCAACTCACACAAGCCATTTAATGGGCTCCATCCCGCTCTGGGTTCCCCAGGCCTGTTGGTAGAACCAGGTCTTCAGCGCCTTCCAGAAGAGTGCTACAGTGGGAGCCATTCTAATCTCTGTGGGGATGATGTTCTACAGAGAGGTGTTCTTTTGTTGGTGTTCCCTGGTATTACAGATTTAATGTGGAAAATATTGCTCCAAATTCCTGCAAATGTTTGGCAACCTCGTTTTTTGCCTCTTATTTTCCTGTGGATGGTTTCAGAATTGCTCCTTCATTTTCCTTGTGGCTTTCCAAGTCTCCACTAAACCCTAATTCAATGCAACAAGGACACATGACTGCAATAGGGTGTGGATGGATGACTTTTGGTTGCTACCTTTTCACTGGCAGGATTGTTCTAGCTGTTTGTAGTAAGTCAGCAAAGACCAGGCACAGAACGGGGACAAACAGAGAGATGGGGGAACCTAGGTCAGCCAGAGGTCAGCACCAGACCTTGCTTTTGCTGAGTCAGATGCTGACATGACAGCAAACAACATGGCAAGCAAAGGCTGGAGCCTCTCAGAGTCCAGTAGCTGTTGAGGTGAATGCTCCTGTTGCTGCCTAATCTGAGCTGCCCTCAAGTACAGGTTTCCTCTGGGGACAGGTCTAATAGTGCACTTTGGATATTGGGGTACATTTCCTTCCTCCTTCAATTAAGACAGAAGCACCCACACTCTTTGCGGGGGCCGGGGAAAAGCAGGGAGGTCTCCATTAAGAAACTAATGCCATGTAGATCAGGGCTACTTTTATTGTACTGTAACAGCATCTGAATGTGCTTCTCCCTCTATCTTCAAGTGAATTTAGGAGGGGCTTGTCTGAGATGTTTTCTCATGTATCTTTGGCCCAGCCTCAATCCGCCCTTGACTATTGCCTTAATAACTGCTATTCCTCCTGCCTTCAAGGCCATTCCCTCTTCCCTGCCATACTGGGAAACAGGAAGGTTTTAAAGAAGGTAAGATGACCCCACTCCTTTTTAATATGCACATAAAAAGATGTTTGATTGCATGATTGTGGTTACCATAGTTTGACTCTCTTCCCCATTTTATAGCAACCCGATAGACAAAGTTTGACATACTTCATTAAAAGGAAGAACTATTCATATTCAGAAGAGCCTCTCCTATATTCAGAAGATTGATTCCTGCAGAAATGGCTGATCCAGAAAGGGTTTTTATCAAGTAGTAGTTGTTAAAAGGTTTCAAAAATATTTATTAAGTATTATATGGCCATAAAATGGTAAAATAAATATTGACAAATATCTGACTAATGCTAAATGTTTCCACTTACCATCAAATTTGACTTAAAGACAGACTTAGGAATGGATCTCATTCATAACTCAGGGATTCCCTGTATTTATTTACAGTATTTATAAGCCACTCAAATGCTGTAGAACTCTGAGTAACATGGAACAACAAAAATAATTTTAATTATTATTAAATATTATGATTTGCATGACTATTGTTCCAATACTTTTTATGTTGCTGCTATGAATTGCTTAGAGTCTTGATTATTAACATAGTATAAAAACCTCTGTGATAAATAAGGACTTCATATAAGTAAAATCAATTTGAAGCAATTTGGAATATGCTACCAATAGAATTGGAGTATTGTATTGCGCATTATGGAATAAATAATTTCTTGCCAAATTTCTCTTTCCATTTGGCAATCAAAGGAGAGCTACTACTGTATACCAGCTGACAAAACTGACTATAGAGTGGGGACAATAAGACCTACAGCAGAGAGTTTAGGTCTGTAATGTCCTTGCTCTAAAATACTACCTACATTATGATGGATTTCAAAGGGGATTGGATGCTATCCTTTACCAGAAGCAATACGATGAATAGGTAAACAGACGTTTGTCAGCAACAGAACAAGAGTGTGAACAATTATGGCCCCTGAAACCAAAGCACAGAGCAGAGATAATTATGACAGCTGTCCCCCTTTAGCACACTGAAACGAGGGCAGAATATAATGGCACACACTTATAGAAATAAATTGAGAAATGATATTGTCTAGGTCTAGGAGACGCCTTTATGTTGCAAGATGCACTGAATTGTGTCTTCCTGCCTAGTTTTGGAAAAGATGAGGCCACTGATTCAATGCCAATTAAAACTATAAAGCTACAGATTAAAGAGGTTGAAGATCAGGATGTGTAACTTTGAGTGGTTGAAAAAATAATTTTGGAAGGTTGGCCTATAAATAAAAGTCAAATGCCCATAGGGACAAAAATATGTTTTCAGTTTAAGAAAGAACTCAACATAAAAATAGGTTAGTGATAGTATAATGCTAATAACATAAGATAATCTTATATTCTGTGGATAAATGCATAATTCCAACTTCACTTTGTAATAAAGCTATGGAAAAAAAGTATTAGTCACACATGAAAATTGAAGTTGCTTGTTATGAGCTAAAGAATGTGCTTATTGGCCTGGGATAAGGACCGGGAATAAGGGGGGAGGTATGAATGAGAAGGTATGAGACCTGCCATTAATGTGACAACCATCAACAAAAGGAGACCTTAAAACCCAACTAACTTCGCACTAGACCACTCTTTTCCAACATTTTTGGATGGGGGGGTGGGGGAGAGACGGCATGGTTTTGAGTGAGTGGCCAGCAAGTGTGCATGCAGCTCCACTTGCGCGATTGGTGTGCATGCGTGCCTACCGCTCACGCAACCAGCTGTTTCCTTGGCCCATTTGCTAACACCTCGCAGCCAACTAGTAGGCCGCAGCCCACAGATGAGACCCCTGCACTAGACCATTGTAGAACAGCTATCCACCTTAAAAAGAAATCAGTACAATATTTTACTATTGTTATTAGTCCAATTTCTGAGAAACTAATGAATGTTTTGATTCTAGCATTGGGATTAACATACCATGAAATTTATCTGTACCTAGGCTCTATATGACAATCATGTTTGCTCTGACCCACTAGACAAGAGATGCTCAGTTAATGGGATTAAATCCATATTCAGGATACTGAACTACACACTTAGTGGGATCAATCAATAGTCAGATCAATTCCCAAGGCGGGCCTGTTAAAGGACAGGTCAGAAAAACAGAACTACAGAACATTATTGATTATCACCCACAGGTTACACGTAAGCCTCTTCCTCTTCCTTCATCCCCATAGCAATATTGATAGATTACACCAGAAATGGAGACAGCGGTTTACATCAAGTCAAGGAAACTGTCAGAGAAGAAAGGCTTGCGTTGGCTGATTATATAAAAGGCAGCTCAGAACAAGCATTGATGCAAGTTAACATTTGGAACTTCTTGAATGTGCAAGAAACAAAACATGAATATTCAAATTATGTAATAAAAATGAGAACAAAATGCTGCCAAGGAAAAGCATTACGTGGTCAATTTCTGCAAAAGATCAGGGGGAAAGTGGATACTATATGAATGCATATGGAAGGTTCTGGAGTATTTCAAGACAGGATATTGCAATTGTAGCAGTGGTGGGTTGCCAATTTTTTTACTACCGGTTTGGGCACATTCCCGTGCCTATGCACAGAAGCGTTTGGGTGGGTGGGTGGAGCCTCCCGCCGCCGCTACTACCAGTTCGCCGATCCAGGGCAAACCGGGAGCAACCCACCTCTGAATTCTAGGTATGTCAGCTGAGACTGTTTCATTATTCCATTTGACTTTCTTTTTCTGCACTCTGGGGATGAAAATAGGCTATATTTAAACTTGAATGCAAACAAACAAACAAACAAACAAA